AAGTGATTGATTCGATTCATTCGCCAATAAACGTCTAATCTTCACTAGAGCAATACCCATGCACAACGTGGAGAGTATCCTTAATGCAGGAAATGAGCAACTCGACTCACTCACTCTTTCTCCTCTCTCTCCACACGCAGCACAATTACCTTGAATATCCTCCTCACTATATTGTCGAGCAGTTCCCACTTAGTCTTGCCGCTAACGAAGATGGATCCAATCAGAATGTCTGCTTGTTTGTCGGCCTGCAGGGACAGATGCAAACCGATTACACATCATGGTGATTCGCAATGCTTGCAAGAACATCATACACAAAATTGCTACGAGCAAACGTACTGCAAAATTTGCAACGATGCCATCTAAGAAACAATTACGCTAAAAATATTCTGCAGAAGAGGAGAAAGATTGAACACACCACAACATGTGAAATGACAATAAAAACAAAATTGCTACGATCAAACATTCTCAAAAATTCGCAATAATGCCACATATAAAGCAATTACAATTGAACATAATTACACTGACAAATTCAAACTGACACCAAATATGAATCCGTTATGACCACAAATAAATGTACTCCAAAGACTTGGATGCTACACAATAAAGAGAGGGGTGGGAGAGCGAAGGAGAAAGAAAGAGACAGATAAGATTGAGAGAGAGAGTGAGAGAGAGAGGGTGGAGTGAAGCACAGCATTTCACATTAGCACTGCCACTGGGTAAACAAGCACGGTTGTCACAACAAGTTCTCGCTCGCAAAGCTATCGACTCTACAAAATGTAATTAGAGCTATCATAATCTTGAGATGTGCATTTTTGAGCGGTGTTACACGCAGAGACAGACACTACTCGGCCAGCACTTGCTCGTGCACATACAGTGCGCACAAACACGCACACACAGAGTTCGAGAAGGTGAGACTCACCGCAGCACGAGGTACTCGGCCAGCCGCTGACATAGGGTTAGGGTTAGGGTTAGGGTTAGAGTTAGAGTTAGGGTTAGGGAGTAGGCGTAGGCGACTCCCTAGACTCATTAGTGGAGTAGGCGAAGTACGGTCCGGCATATTAGATAGTAGTATTTAGTACCAGGGTACGTTCCGGTATACCGGACCATATACCCAGGGTACGTTCCGGCAGTACCCTGGGGGACATAGACCCTATCAGCTCTAGTAATGATAAAATTTCTGACGGATACAGTACAATTACAATACAACATGAAGAAAAAATATATACAAAAAAACAAACAAACAAACTTCAGCATACTCTGTACTACTACTACTACTACTACTACTACTACTACTGCTGCTAGTAAAGTGATTAAAGGCCCGCTTATGTCGGCCTTACGACCTAGTCGCCGACAAGATTTGAATATCGTACGTCAAAAACCTGCCAGATCGCCGATAAAAACATCGGCGACCAAACTCGACATGAGTCCTCTTACGATCAAAAATACGGTCGCCGACTGCGATCGCAGGAATAGAACATGTTCTATTTCTATGCGGCTGTCGGCGACAAATCGTGAGTGGCAGCCAATCACCGCAGCGTGTCAAGTCACATGATTATCAAAAGTCACGT